TTAAAATATTTATAATGTTATTGTATATTAAATAAACAATTTATTTATTTTTATATGAGAATTATTAATCATAAACATACTACTTATCTTTTGGAGGTTATTTGTAATGAATCGAAAATTTTTATGGTATTGTGATGAGAAATATTTCCAAAAAACAAATAATTTAAATCGTTATACATAACATTATTATATTAAGAAATACAGAAACCCTAAAAAAAAAAATTAAGAAGGTTTTTAGTCATAACAAAGAGAAGAGATGAATGTGTATGAATTGGAAAATATATTTGGTGTAATCAACAATTCAGGAAATATATGTTTTGCACCTGATGGGATTTCTTTGTATAGTTGTACTGGAAATAGAATTCATGTAACAAATCTTCAATCACATGTTTCTTCTGTTTTTCCTGTTGAAACATTCCGACCTATTAAGTTAATTGCAGTTGACTCAAGAAATAGTGTTATATTAGTTATTGATGAAACAAATTTTGGAATATTAATATCAGTTGCAACTCGGACAGTTCTTTCATCAACTAATTTTAAAGATGATGTGTTGTGTGTTAAATTTTCACCAGATTATCCATTATTTGCATTAGGATTTGAAAAGAAAATTGAGATATGGAGAATTCCAGTTTTAACTAGGCCTGTTTCTTTTACTTTAGTAAGACAATACCGATCATTTATTACTAATTCTAAAATCATTCACATTGTTTGGAGAAAAAGACGAGTTATTGCGTTTACTGATGAAAATAGGGGATTGATATTAACATCAAAAGGAGAAATAAAACATAAAATTGCATTTTGGAAATTACCTGTAGTTGCTTGTGAATATATTAATAATCATTTATATATTGTATCTCCATCTGGGGTTTGTGCATCGTATGAATATAATAAAGAGACAAAAAATTTTGAACAAATAGAAAAACAATTAATTATTCCACCAAAAAATAGAATTCATTTTGCTGCATTTGGTGGTTCAATACTTGCTGCAAATATTGATGGTGAAATTAATATTTTTGAAACAACTCAATTTACTAAATTACATGCCTATAAATATGATTTTAAATATGTTAGTCTTGCTGTTTCAAATACAGGCAATTGTATTGCGTTAGGAAATAAAGAATATGATTTTCTTACAGTATATGAATGGAAGACAGAGTCTTATTTAATGAAATCTGTTGGTCATAGGACTGCTATTCTTTCTCAAACTATTTCCCCAAATGGTCAATATATTGCTACAGGAGATGGACAAGGTAATTTAAATATATGGATGATTGGTTCAGGTGAATGTATTGCTAGTTTTAATATCAAACAAGAAGGAGATGTTGGAGAGGATTGTGCTGTTAGAGGAATTACTTTTGCTCCTAATTCTCTTTCAGTGATAGGGGTTGGTGGAAATGGTAAAATTATGGTTTATGATCTTATTAAAAAGAAGTGTTATCGAGCACTTCATCCAGACACTCATCAACTTGATGGAATTGTAATTGAACCAAGGGATGGAGATATTATTGCTGCTTATTCATCAGAAGATGCAAAAATCTTTTTGTATTCAATTCGTACTTCTAAGCTACTTGATGTATTAACTGGACATGCAGGACCTATTACAGATATTTGTATTCATCCAGTTACATCAGAACTTTCAACATCATCATGGGATAAAACTGTTAGGTGTGTTAATTTCTTAAATGACCTTCAAACAGAAGTTATAGATCATCCAGCAGAAGTTATGTCAATATCTGTTAATTCAATTGGTACAATGTATGTTTCAGCATGTAGAGATGGGTATCTTTATTTATATGGGTGTGATGATAAATCGATGATTGGACTTATTGCATATAGAAATGATTTAATTGGTGGTATTAAGTTATCAACAAGTGCAGCTCCAGATACTTTAAGAGATGGAAGTTCATATAATCCAACACAAATTATGGCAAGAAAAGAAAAGTATGTAAGTTCTGTAAAATTCCTTGCAGATAATGATGAAATGGTTGTTTGTGGTGGGAATAGTAAATATGTAGCATATTACAATGTTATTTCTAAATCGTTAGTATATAAATCTTTTGTAACAAAAGATTATTCATATTCAAATATTTATGATTTCGTTACTAGTAAAAAGCTGAAACAAAATCTCGATAAGAAAACAAAAAAAACTATTCAAACTAAATCAATTTATGTTTCACCTGCTGGTAAAACTCTTAGCATTTTAACTGATGCAGGAGTTCAATTATATACATCAGGAAATCATGCTTTTCAACCTTATTGTCTTTCAGAAGCTATTACACCTGAAGCTGCTTTAGAACATTTGTCTAATGGAAATTTCCTTTCTGCTTTTATTTTCTCAGTACATCTAAATGATAAGAATTTGATAAATCAATCATTTAGATCAATTCCAATGGAAGAAATAGTCAGTGTTGCAAGTAGAATTCCAATTGCCCTTCTTTCACGTGTTTTAGAATATTTAACTAAAGAAGTAAGTGGATTACTTTTCCACAGAGCAGTCTTTTTCACTGCAGCATTACTTAGATTCCATATTAATACATTAGTTAAACCAAATATCTCTCTTGCTCAAACTGCAATTCCATCATCATCAGAATATCTTCCACATTTACGAAATTTATTTAAAGCACTTAACCTTACTTATAAGAAGATGTCAACTCAAAGTCAACAAGCACTTGCATTATTAAATATGTGTTTACAAATGTCTCATTTCCTTATTAAAAAAGAATCAGAAAAAGAATCAGATGAAGTTAGATCGGAATGTGAAAAGAAAGAAGAAATGAGTGAAAGTGAGATAGAAGAAAATATAAAAGAAGAAAAAATGAGTGAGAATGAAAGTCTAGAAGATGACATTCAAGAAAATAAAAGTAATGAGAAATCTCATATATCTAGTAATGATATGAGTGAAGAGAATGATTGAATTTTTTGATTTATTTTTACTATTTAATTTTTCTTTTTTTAATACAATTAACAAAAGTTAAAGATAAAAATTAAGAATAACCAGCAAATTGAAGTTTACCACAAACTTTTAGTAATGTTGTTGTTATTTTCCTTTCTTTCCTTTTTTCTTACTAGAGGCTTCTTTTTGAACAGTTTGACCATTTGGTAGGTCAATTTGATAATTTCCTCTTGTTGCTTTTGCCAAATCTTTATTTAATAAATCGAAATCACCTGGTACAATTGAAACTTTGTA